GGTCAACGCTGATGCACGCTAGTGGGGAAAGTCCACCAGGCCTGAAGCGTTGGGCCCAGATTTACTAAAAGAAAACCCTTTTTATTATTCTTTATTTTTCTTTATTTTTTTTACTTTCAATTATTATTTTTAATTAATTCTGTTAATTTAATTATATTTTCATAAAAACACAAAAACCATAAAAAAATCAGAAAAGAAAAAAAATAATAAATATTTTTTATTTTAATATTTCTTGTAAATAAATTCATAAATTAACTAGTTTTAAATTAGGTTTTAATTTTAACTCTTTCAATAAAAATCTAAAAAAATATAGAATTAGGGTTTATGATAATTTTTATTCCTTTTTATTTTTCTTCCATAATAATTAAATATTTACTATTATTTATTTTTGTAATTAAATTGCAATAAAATAATTAGGGTTAATTTTAGGATTAAAACTTTAATATGTTTTCTTAATAAATTAAAAACAACTAGAATTAGGTTTAATTTTAATTAATCCTTTTTCATTTAAATCATGAAATACCAAAAAATACCAAAAACAATTTCTTTTCTTTTTTTAATTAATTAATTCCATCATTAATTTAATTTTGCAAAAAGGGTCCAACGCCCTCGTTTAATTCTTGTTTAATTCGCGTGCTTATTTCTTTTTCGTTTAATATTTATGTATCTCTCCCAAGGCCTTGTAATTAATTTCTTGCACTTTACTTATCTTTAATCCTTTATTTTTCTGTCAAATCGGGTTCAAGAAATTTTGGCGATGTGGACCCGCGCCTTTTGTAATAGCTTAGAATCTTTTACTTTTCGCAATTTTTAACTGTTAATCAAGGCATGAAAGAATGTATGGACAAAAAATAAAAACAAACGCTAGATCACCAATAACATGACAAAAGACAAAAATACTTGAAAACGACACACAAATCACACACCACCCCTAGGGTACGCCTCACTGTTGCCTTGCCTCGAAAGGTGATCGTCGAGTAGAGGATGTCTTAGTAAGTCCTCATGATCCGGGAACCTGGCATGAGGGTAGCTTCTAAGGTGTCTTCCTATTGCTCCGGTGATCACCATGTCCCGAACCTCGAATTGACCCGAACACCTCCAACGGTGGTGCTACCTACCTCTCAATGGTGGGATGGAACTACTTTAAAGGACATTTACACAGACGAATTCCTTAGGGTAGGTAGACGACTCTAGATACTTTCTCTATTTCAAAACAAATCAAAAAAATACTTTTCACACCGACACCTTTTCAAAAAGCTTTCGAAAGCAACTTTTCAAACACTCTTGAGGACCGATACAAGAGTCGAACTGGAATTTTCAAAGAAAACTTTTTAAAACCCACAGTTGAAAAGCAAACAAATCATTTTTGAAAACACAACTGAGCAAGTATCTAAGAGCCCATGGATAACCATGGATAGAAAGGGTGCTAACACCTTCCCTTTCTATAACCTACCTCCCGAACCGAGAGCAATCTCTATAAGGAATTTTTCTGTGCTTTTGTCCTTTCCATTTGGAGAAAATAAAAGACGGTGGCGACTCTTGCTTCCGCGACATTTCGCGAACCAGCGTTAAACAGTCAGTTCCAGATCCACCGATCACAGAACTGGCGACTCTGCTGGGGACATTTACTTAAAGTGAGGTGTACCTTAGGACTAAGATCACTGTGTTTTCAATTGTATTGATTTGCTTGCTTTAAATTGTGGGTTGCATGGGAGTTACATAGATCCTAACCCGGATCTGGGGATACCCTGTTTAGGTAGCATAAGCTGTGAGGGACCTGTCCGGCGTAGACCGACACGGGTGAAACAGTGGCTACGTTGGTGTGGCACCTTGGTCTGTACCGATATCCCTTGTGTTGCAACGAGGAGAACATGGGTCTTCTGAGGAGTCATTAAGCACATGGTCTGTACGCTATATAAAAAAAATTCAAACATGCATGAGTATAAGCCAATTGTGTCCACTTGTGGCAACCAGATTGTTATGCGCTCAGATTTGATTTACCTCCATAAGAAGCCTAGGGTAATTCTATTATGTTTCCCCAGCAAAGTGTGTTTGAATTCACCAACAGTCGGGTCTTTGGTATTTCTCCATTTCCCCAATAAGTTTGTGGTTTGTGCTTGCCTTTGCAAGCCTTTGGTTGTTGTACCCGCGTTTGCTTTGTCATTAGAGTGTGAGTAAGAGTCGGTGTATAATCTTTCTTGCTTCTCAAGTGTTTGAGTATCCATACTTGGTATGTGGTAATTCAGATAATTGCCACTTTTAAAGAATTGACACCCCGCCTTTGGCCTGAGGGATTTTTTGTAGTCCTTGCGTATTTGCAACTTATCAAAATCCCAGCGTAATGGCAATTTTTGTCAGAGTCTGCTTTGACCAGTCTCTTTCTCTTGTAAAGTTCACCTTCGATCGGTGCTCTTTGAAGGTCCTGCTTAGTCGGTTTCTCGTTTTGGTTTATCCGCGTTAGTCAGGTCCTCCTTTCGTTAGCCTATCTAACTTTTTTATGATTAAGAGTCTTTCAATGTCTCTTCAAAGTCCAGTTGTCTGGCACCCTTGTTTAGACGAATGCGTCCTTTTTTATTGGGGCTTTCTTCGGTTAGTCTCGTTCCTGTGTTCGCTAGCAATTCTAAACATTTGTTTCTTGATGATCAACTTCTCTCTTGTGTATCTAACTCTGACCAGATATACATACCTTTATCATTTGTTGAGAGTCCCCTTCGGCTGGTCTCTTTAGAGTTGTAAGTTCGCCTTCCACCGGCGTTCTTTTCTTAGGAATCTACCTTCGGCATAGTATTCCTTGATGAAGATTCCCCTTCGGCTGGTTTCTTTATCCTAAAGTCCACCTTCGGCTGGCATCCTTTAAAATCCACCTCCAACTGGTACCGTTTGTTGAGAGTCCCCTTCGGCTGGTCTCTTTGCAGTTGTAAGTTCGCCTTCGACCTGCGTTTCTCTTTTTAGGAATCTACCTTCGGCATAGTATTCCTTGATGAAGATTCCCCTTCGGCTGGTTTCTTTATCCTAAAGTCCACCTTCGGCTGGCATCCTAAAGTCCACCTTCGGCTGGCATCCTTTAAAATCCACCTCCGGCTGGTACCGTTTGTTGAGAGTCCCCTTCGGCTGGTCTCTTTGCAGTTGTAAGTCCGCCTTCGACCGACGTTCTTTTCTTAGGAATCTACCTTCGGCATAGTATTCCTGGATGAAGATTCCCCTTCGGCTGGTTTCTTTATCCTAAAGTCCACCTTCGGCTGGCACCCTCTAAAATCCCGCTCCGGCAGGTATCTTTTAAAATCCATCGTCGAATGGTATCATTTGTCAGGGGTCCCATTTGTTTGGTCTCTTCCCTCAGTAAGTTCACCTTCGATTGGTGTCTTCTTTGTAAGAGCTTTCTTCGGTCTGTCTCTTTCACATGTATCTGATACCGACCACGAATATGTATCTTTGATGTCTCTTTTGTGCGTATCCGATACCGACCACGGATATGTATCTTTGATGTCTCTTTTTGTGCGTATCCGATACCGACCACGGATATGTATTTTTGATGTCTCTTTCGTGTATATCCGCTACCAACCCCGGATATGTGTCTCTGATATAGTTTTCGCATGTCTGCTACGACTTCAGGCGTATATCTTTTGATATCTTTCTTACAGGCGTTTGTTACTAAATCCCAACAGATGTTCCTTGATAACCAAGTTATTCTGCTATGTGTCAAACTCCGGTTAAACATATATCTAACCTGATAACCCCTTTTACCTAGCAAAAAAAAATAATACAGAAAAAACCAAAAATGATACCTGACTGGCTTCGGAGCGCAAATTTTCGGGTTCTTTTAGTATTTAATCTTCTTCTACCTTGAGAGTTCGAAAGGCTGGCGCCAATCTCCCCTTCAGGTTGAAGACGATTAAATAGGGGCAGCTGTTGCACCCCAAAATTTGCCCTCCTAATCTCTTTTATTTGGCTTGGACTTTTTGCATTCATCTGCATCATTCCAATAGTTCATTTGCATAGCACGCATTTTTCATAAAAAATAAATAGCTCTGAGGTTCAAAGTCCAATGGTTGTGCGACATTAGGGTTTCCCAGTGGTTAAGGCGCTCGTATCCAATAAGGGATGATTTCTTATTCGGGCAACAAGCTGTGGAATTAGGGTTTTGGTTCATTCTCATTTTTTGGATTTCTTCTCCATCAAGCTACAAGGCTATTATCTTCTGTTGAACAATAGGTTGCAGGGTATTCCTGTCAATAATGTAAGATTGTGATCTCGCGTACATAATTCAAAACACCTCATTCTATCATTGTGCTTATCATTTGGTCAAGGTTTGTCAATACTAGAGGGGTATTAAGATTTCTCTAAAGGATCAAGATCTGTTATCAATCCAGGATGCATATGATGCTTGCATTACAGGTTGTAGACTATGTCATTGTTGCATTAAGTTCATCTATCCTTAAGTTAATCAATTAGGATTGGGTACGTCATGAGTCAAGATATTTTGTATGGTAAATTTGGTTGCTTGACGGACAAGGCATTGCGAATAATTGGTACAAGCTTTTGTTTGGATATTGGTGTAAGAACTTTGGTTTCAAACATGGATTAAGGCTCAACTTGATAAAAAAGGGAATAGCGTGCCCGAAGGTTTATTTCATAAATTCTTGCGGAGGAAGATGGCACATGAATATAAGTTGAGATTAAAGTACATGGTATCAAGTAAATCTCTTCATGATTCAAGTTGTTATTTTCAAGATTTTCTCACATCATTGTTCATCCCAAGGTAAAGGATAAAAAGATTCATTTAAATAACATTCGAGTGTTTATCATGTTTGTCTCAAGTTTACTCAAGTATCCATTCAAGTTCAAAATGAATAAGAGAAATGTTTTGAATAATTGGAAATTTGTCAAGCAAGAAGTTATAAAGTTTTGTTCATTACAAATTCAATTCATTACACCGAAGTTACAAAAGACATCTCAATCATCAAAGTTTCAAATTCCAAGTACATCTTGAAAATGTAGATATGGTTTCTGATGTTTGTGCAATTAAGTTTGAATCTAAGCCGGGTTCTGATGAAAGCGGAGTTGGCTTGCATAAAACTGACAAGTCTTGTTCAGTCAATGACCATCCAGCAAAAAGTACATCAGATAGCATAGAAGTCTCCAAAGGCAAAGCAAATAAATTGGGAGATGCAGTTAGAGAATCAATTTCTACTGTAGGAATAATTAAACCACTGGAGTGTGGTTCTGTTGCTATGGATACAATGGTTTCAGAGGGTTCTTCTGGGGATCTCAGAAATGAAGTGGAAAGGCAAAGAGTGGTAGCACCCCCATGCTTTGAAGACAGAGATGTTAAACATGAAGCTGATGCAGGTGTTGTAGTTGAATCGAAAAGTTGTGTGTTAGAGTCAAGCACTACCTCAAATCTTTCATTCTCTCGTGTGGCCAATTCATGCTCAGGATTGAGCTTTGGTTCTGAAAATAAGCATGTCTCCTTTGGAAAACCTCATGCTTCGACATTATCTACAGACAATTCTCGGGCTACTACAAAGTCATTGTTGCTGGACGCTGCTGCTGCTCCATGTGAAAAAGCAGTTAGCCAGGATAGATTGTCCTCTAATTGTGATATTCAAAGAGGTAGAGATATGCGGTGTCATAGTTCTGGCAGTGACCATCAGTTTCCTCTTCCATGCAATCATCTTGAGACTGTTAGCATCCTCCAGGGCTACCCCATGCAGGTGCCTGTCAAGAAGGAAGTGGATGGGGATGTGAATTGCAGCAGTTCAGTGTCTGAGTTTCCTTTTCCCCAAAAGGTCAAACAGACTGATGATCATTTCAAAACATTATGGCATTCTTCTGATTCAGAAAACACATCCAGAAATGGTAATGTGAAACTGTTTGGAAAGATTCTAACTAATTCTTCTTCCAATTTGATTACAAAGGGAAGTGAAGAAAATAGTACGAATCATACCAAGTCAAGTAACAAGTCTTGTAAACGTAAAATTACTAGCCATCAGAATTCTGATGGAAATTTGAAAATTTTGAAGTTTGACCATGCTGATTATCCTGGCCTTGAAAATGTTCCAGTGAAGAGTTATGGTTTTTGGGAAGGGACTGGAATAATACAGACTGGTCTCCCATCATTGGCTGATTCTTCCTTCTTGTTAGCTAAATATCCTGCTGCCTTCAGCAATTATCCTACATCATCTTCCAGTTTGGAGCAACAACCATTGCAGCCGTTTGGCGCATCCACTTTTACTGCTAGAGACATCAATGGAAGCAATGCCATGCTTGACTATCAGATGCTTAGAAGTAGGGATGGTCCAAAAGTGCAGCCATTTATACTAGATGCCAAGCACAGCCAAGATGTATTCTCTGAGATGCATAGAAGAAACAGTTTTGAAGCAATATCTAGTTTGCAGCAGCATGGAATAGGAGTGATGGGAATGAATGGCATTGGGTTCCCGAGGAGAGAATACTAACCACAAATCTCTGGTCTGCCGAGCTATCTAAGCTTACTGCTAATGCCTTTTTGGCTCAGAGGTGGTGGATGCACTTATGCAAGTCTTATGGGGAATTTTGGACTTTGAGCAGCCAGACACACAAACCATGAACAACATTGTTATGTCTGCAGTTGAACTTATTTATTGTTATGTTGAATGCTTGACTCTGCATGGAAAAGATTCAGGAGTTCATAGTGTAGCACCTGCTGTTGAATTACTCAAGAAGCTTCTTTTTTCGTCCGATGAAGCTGTTCAGACTGCTAGCAGTTTGGCCATATCTTCGAGATTGCTCCAGGTCCCTTTTCCAAAGCAGACATTGTTAGCTCCAGATGATGGTGTTGAGAGTGTAGTTCCAGTTTCAGGCTCAGCTGACACAAGTACTAGAAATAACCAAGTCATGGTTGAAGAAGACACTATCACTTCATCTGTTCAATATTGTTGTGATGGTTGTTCTACTGTACCTATACTTAGGCGAAGGTGGCATTGCACTATTTGTCCTGATTTTGATTTGTGTGAGGCTTGCTTTGAAGTACTAGATACATACTGACTTCCTCCACCACACTCTAGAGGTCATCCTATGACAGCAATTCCAATTGAAGTGGACTCAGTGGGAGATGGCAATGAATTTCACTTCACACCTGATGATGTTAGTGACTCACTGCCTGTACCGGCTGATAGCAACATGCAGAGTTCTTCTCCCTCAATTCATGTCTTGGAGCCCAATGATTCTGGAGAGTTTGTTGCTGCATTGACTGATCCAGTCTAAATCTCTGCTTCAAAACGGGCAATTAATTCCTTGCTACTTTCTGAATTTCTTGAACAATTGAAAGGATGGATGGATTCAACCTCTGGAGTCCGAGCAATTCCTGTTATGCAGCTTTTCTACAGGCTCTCATCTGCTGTGGGTGGACCTTTCATAGACAGCTCAAAGCCCAACAGTTTAGATTTAGAGAAACTAATCAAATGGTTTTTGGATGAGATTAATCTCAACAAACCATTTGTAGCCAGAACCCGGTCTTCAATTGGGGAAGTTGCAATCCCGGTCTTCATGTTTTTCACATTGATGCTTAGAAATTGGCATCAGCCTGGTAGTGATGGTTCCATGCCAAGACACAGCGGAACTACTGATGTTCATGATAAAAATGTAATCCAACATTCTTCATCCACTTCCAAGACTTCAGTCGATGACCGAGAGAAGAACGACTTTGCATCACAGCTGCTTCAAGCATGTGATTCTCTTAGGCAGCAATCTTTTGTAAATTATTTGATGGATATACTGCAGCAACTAGTGCATGTTTTCAGATCTCCTATTAACAGTGAAGGTGGACATAGTAATGCTGGACCTGAATGCGGGGCTTTGCTTACAGTACGTAGAGATTTACCTGCTGGTAATTTTTTACCTTTTTTTTTCTGATTCATATGTGAAAGTGCATCGAACAGACATCTTTATGGACTACTACAGGCTTCATTTTGAAAAGGATAAGGCTTTGGCATGACGGTTTCAACCTGTTTGGATCAGTGAGCCAAGTGAGGGTGATGCAATTAACATACTCATGGGTATACGTGATAAATTCGAGGAACATCACAAATGCATATATACAGAAGATGCCTTAAAGGCTGCAGTTCATTTGTCAACAAGATACATAGCTGATAGATATCTACCTAATAAAGCTATTGACCTCATAGACGAAGCCGGAAGTAAAGCTTCTATTGAAGCCTTTAAGATGAAAAAAGAACGCAACTGCTACTTACTTTCTAAAAAAAAACCAGAAGTTTATTGGGGAGAAATTAGAATGGTTCAGTCCAAGCTTAAAATGGTTCAGGAGAGCAAGCTAAAATATTATGCCACATCTGGAATTGGGGATAGCAATGAACTCATACTGGTTTTTTTATTTAACTTCTGCAGTATTTGTTAATGAACATGATACAGTTAGACATGAGTGAATATATGGAACGCCATTCAGTGAGCAAGTTGATAGGATCTTCCCCAGGTTATGTTGGTTATGGAGAAGGAGGCATTTTAACAGATGCTATTAGAAGAAACCCATTTACAGTGTTATTGTTTGATGAAATAGAGAAAGCTCATTCAGATATATTCAATATCCTTCTTCTACATCAATTTCAGAATATAAAAAAAAGTTATGGATTGGTGGGAATAAATTCCATGCTACATTACAATACAAGATGGCATTCAAGACATTTTCATTACAATTTTACCATCATGTTACAAAAGAAATTATAAAAATCCTATACAACACCAAAGCCTAATCTTCATATGTCTTCCACGAAATCCCACAGTTTGACCTTACCTCTTCACCATAATCTTCACACTGCTTCAACACAAATCCTACTGGCCACTTGGAACTCAACCTGTAAAATCGCATCAAAACAATCCACAATAAGAACCGAAACTAACAAGCCAATGACATAACCTTCAGCTTACCAACTAACTTTTCATAACAGAAAGCCCTGCACATAACAAACTAACTACTAACTGCAAACAAAATTTCAATACAACTAACTTGTAACCATAACTAATCCTAACCTACATAACTGAATTTTCTAACTAATTCTAACAGATTTATTAACTTCCTAACCGCTTAACTAACTCTTAATCAACTCTCAGCAATCTATATAACAGAGTTTCAGTTTTCAGATTAAGGAGGATTCAGATTCATTATTTTTTTTCAACTCTACAGAATAGATTAAAATATAAAAAATTTACCAATTCATTTTCGATTCTGCAATTCTGCAGAAGAGCCTCCACAAACCCCTTCATCCACTGGCAACCTTTCTTCACCCTCCAATCTCCCTACAATCTCTCCCTCAAATCCTCTGCAACCTCGCCATATTCATCGCTTCATCATTTTTCATCTTCGATCTTCAAAAACCCCAATCTGAGCCAACTTTCTGCACACAATAATGTCAATCAGATCTGCAGTGAATTCAACAACATCACTTCAACAATTTCAACACGGCATCGACATCACAACCTGCAACATAGATCAATACAAATTCACTGCCAACGATTCATTCAACGATAGAAAGTAAACTGAAGAAAAAGAACAGAAAATAGAAGTGGATTTTGAATAAGATCGAAGGAGAAGCTTCAGCTAAGAACAAAAGCAACGGAAAAGGGAAAACCTTACCTGTATCATGTGTTAAGGTCTTCGCGTCAGAATTTTGAGATCTTCCAAACAAGTACTTCCTTCAGTCATTCTTACTCCTCCGTATGCGTAGAATAGCACTCCTTGGACACCTCCCACCGAAGCACCCGATCTTGGCGATTTCTTCGAAATTGAGAACCGTTCGAATACAATGGTCTGATGCCATCTTTGAGTATTCGGAGAAACTATGGGGATGGTTAGAATCAGAAAAGAGAGTACAATGTTTTTTCGTATTGGAGTTTTGTTGTTTCGGCAAACGAATCTTGGTGAATGGCATCCATGGCCGCCGTGGAAAGTGTGTATCTCATTGGTTCCTTCACAAAGGCTGAAGAAGAGAAAAAACGCATTAGGGCTAAGCGGTGACGACACCGTTTATACACTCTATTCCCTTTTTTCATTATTATTTACCCTTTTATCTTCTAGTGCGTCAGTTTTAAATTTTAGTTGAAAAAGATAAATGTTGTTGGATTGTTGTTTATTTTAATAGATGGGCCAAATGCTTGCAATGGGCCAGTAACATGCAATTTTTTTTCTCCACATGTGAGACTTGAACAAAAAAAAAAGGGCTTGCTCATGAGCCTTGGAAATGATGGGCCTTGCGTCTAGGGTCGACTACAAACCACACCCCTGGATTAGCGGCTTGTACCCCCTGAGCTTAGTAATTTCTTTTAAGTAATTGTGATAATTGTTTTTTTTTGAATTTTATTTCACATGATAAAAATAATAAAATTCAATAAAATTTGTTAGATTTTGATTTTTAGGAATTAAATCGGGATCATCCGATTATTTGAGATTTGTAATTCACCTTTGTTTGTTAGGATTTGAGTCTTATGCAAGTTCATTGTGCGATACGCGAATATGTTCAAGACTTCGATTGTGATTCAGTTTCACACCGATAGTGCTTCGACATTTATCTTGAGCCTTTAATTTCAGACTCTTTTCTTTGCTTGGTGGAGCTTACTCAAAGTTTTCTGGATATCTTTGTTTTGATATGCATTACTACAGATTGATATTTGTTTGGTATTTTCTCTTGTTTATCTCATCTCGCATTTCATAGCTTTCTAGAAATCATAAGAAACCGGGTTTTACCGCAATCCATGTGCATGCTAACATTAGGTAGACGTTCCCTTTTCATTCACCCTTGACTTAGGTCTAATGGTATGATGACTTTAGGTTTAGAAATAGGTTAGTCTCCCTGTGACTTTTCTTTTTTTTTCTTTTCGCATATGCATTTAAAAACAAAAACTTCTTTTTCTCGTAAACTTCAAAAATACTAAAAAATCTACTGACAAGAATCATACCTTCGTTAAGTATGTGAGACGATAAGCAGGTCTCTTCTCGACCTTATTGATCTCTTATTCTAAGCTTTGGTGTGGTTCAAGTCTCAAAGACTCCTTTCATGAATGAGTAAAGACATGGCTAAAATCTCTCCCTTGAGATTAACTAGTCATTCTCTACAAGCGCAAAACACCAACAAACATAAAAATCTTTTGCCCTCGGGCCTTTTCAAAAAGAGCGTATTAATCCACTTCTGTGCTGACGCGTAAGTCTCCAACGGTCGAGTTGCGGCAGAAGGCGAAATTACTATCGTTCATTAAAAAAAAACAAACGAATTCAAAACTTTTTGTGCGTCCAGGCACATTTCTTTCCAAACTTTTCAGAAGAGCATGTTAATTCACTTCTGTGCTGACGCGTAAGTCTCCAAAGGTCGAGTTGCGGCAGAAGGCGAGATTAATATTGTTCGTTAAAGAAAATACAAACAAACAAAAAAAACATAAGCCGAACTACGGTAGCTCTGATTCCTCAAAAAGGATACGTAGGCATTGGGGTAGGGCCCAGGCGAGCACAAATTTATTTTCCCTACATGTGGGATAAAAGACGTTCGATGGCGACTTCATTGTTTTGATGATTTTCAGCCGGTTGTTTCATTTGGTAGGTCAGAGAAGACGACCAGAGTTTGACTCTGGTGTCTCTGACTCTGTTGACTCCGGCAAAGGATATACGTGGCTTCATGCCACATCCTGATTGGTTCATCAAAAAATGAGGGACCCAGTACAGCGCGCGTGTACACCTCAACATTTTTTGATGTTTCACATATATTATTATTTTGTTGTTTGTATAAACGAATGGTTAGTTGGTTTGGTGGTGAAGGTTGTGTGTATAATGTTGGAAGGCCTGGGTTTGATCCCAGGTCTTGAATTTCCATTTTTTTTCATGATTTCTTTGTAAATCCAGTGATACACAGGTCCATACTCATATCCTACGCCTCACGCTTGGGCCATCAGATGTTGATACAAGAATATCCAGCCATCTTGGGGCGCGTTTCCACCCTATAGCCTCAAGGAGGATGCTCACCAGATTATTTTTAGAGCGTCAGATTCAGGCATATTGGGCCTAAGCAAATATCCAAATCCCACCCCCTGTTTGCTAGTTAATACCAGGCCCATCATTTTTTTAATTTTTATTCTTTTTAGCTTATTATTCATTTGTTTTATATTTACTTATTTTCAAAATCATTTTTGTTTAATCATAAAATCAGAAAAATATATATAAAAAAAACTTAGATTTAGATTTTATTTTATTTTTAATTTTAGTAAATTAATTTAGTTAATTATTTTGACTTCTTTTCATAGATTAAAACCAATTTAGAATTAGGTTAAAATTTTAATATTTCTTAAACAAAAATGCCAAAAATATTAGGTTTGTTTTAGAATTAATTTTAATTAATAATTATCTTTTGTTTCTCATTTTTAATTAATTAGATTTAATTTAATATTTTCCTCGAATAAACAAAAACAACAAAAAGAGTTTCTTTTACTTAGAACTTCCTAGGATTTTAGACGTCTTTGCTAATTCGCACGCGTTTAGTATTCTCACATTATCATTTTCTTATTAACGTATCTGCTTATGGGTTGTAATAGAATAACTAGGAAATTTACTGCTTTTTACTTTCCCCATTTTTTGGACTTGTAAATTCCCCCTCCCCGAAGCCATGTAATAGCTGGGTTTAAATTCCGCACTTTTAATTCTTGTACAAGAAGAGTTAATTTTGGAACAATTATTTCTATTCCAGTTGCGTAATTATTTCATATAATAGGATATTGAGACATTTAGGAAACATGTGATGTTGTTCCTTATTTTAAGGAGATGTTTCTACATAAATTATGCAACAATTAGTTTGTGGATTTACATCTAATTGATTGAAGAGCCTGAAGCCTATGCTTACCAAAGACGTTTAAAAGGAAATTCAAAACCCAATGTAAAGGCAAAAGTTGTGTGCATCAAAGGAGGATTAGGGTTTTATTAGTTTATTCATTGTTTATTTTGAGTCACTCACTTATCATCTTGATATTAGAGTTGGAGTGTGTTTGAGTTGTATTTTATTAATTAGTCATGAGTTTTTAAGCAGAGCTCATTATGTGTCTTTGAAGAGTGTCTTCATCTTTCTATCATTGTTAGTTTATCACTATTTGTGTGATTGAAGGGAAGTGAGAGGGATCTCATATCTAGGAGTGTCTTAGATAGAAATAACACGTGTATTGATTAGGTGAGGATATTGTAAATCAAAGTTTGTTTACTTAGGCTTCAAATTAATACTATTTTAGTGGATTTTCTCCCTGACTTGGATGCCCCCAGATGTAGGTGATGTTGCACCGAACTGAGTTAACAATTAGTTATGTTATTTATTTTCAGCAGTTTACCTTACTTACATAATTGTTCTTGTTGTTGTGAATGATCTGATATCAGTGTCGTAACATTAGGTTCGGCACCTGACATCTGCACACCAGAATTTTAATTTGTATGAAAATATACTGACCCAAATCATGATCCACTTGATAAATTTTGCAAGAAAAAACATTTCTCTCATAATATCCTCCAAAACTTTCTATTCAACTATATCGTAAGCTTTTTGTGAGTCCATTTATATTGTACATCTAAGAGATATATGCTTCCTATTGTATCCTCTTATCACCTCATGAGCTAGGAGTATGTTATCTTGTATTACTTTATCAGGTATGATAGTTGATTGACTTTCATCTACCACCACATTTATCACCTTGCTGGTTCTTTTTATCATTTTATATAAAATCATTATTTCAAAAGATGTCAAACATTTTTTCTATATTTTAAATTTTTTTATCTCCTCTCCAAAACAAAGTTTAAGAGCTACATCATAAAATAAAAAAAATTAAAGATATATTCGCCAATTCAAAATAAAATTAGCAAAAGACATATTTAATATATTTAGTCACTAAATAAATACATATTTAATTTTTTATAATTAATACAATAAATGAAAAAAAATAAAATAGTTGATTTATTGGAATGACCAATCCATAGACAGATAGGTCTCAAAATTGAAACCATCCATTGAAATAGTGATTTTTAAAAATTTTAAATAGACAATTACATCATAAAATTGGTCATTTTTTAACGGTCAAAGAGTGATGTTTTTATTGAACATATCACATAAATACCACAGGTTAATTTCTAAATACATTTATTAATTTTCAGAATTAGGATTCAAATTTAGGAAATCTTATTAATTAAAAAAAGAAATTTCTAAATACATTTAATTTTCAAAATATTCGATTTTTAGTAAATTTTATTAATTAAGAAATAATTTCCAAAATTCATTTATTTATTAAATTTCAAAATTTAGATTTGATTTTGGTCTTTCTTCTTAATTAAAAAAAAAAAAAACTTTTCTAAATACATTTAATCTTCAAAATTTATATTCGATTTTGGTAAATCTTATTAATTAAAAACATCAATTTCCTTATTTAGTCTCAAAAAGTAAATATGAATGAAAGAAAAGAACAAACGTGTTGCTATAAATACACAATCAAGTACAAACCCAATAGATATGTCTTAAGGAAGCAACAACAAACCTTTTCTTGTCTGTGTCAAAACCATAGTCTTAATTGTGTTTGTTCCTTGTAAACGGTAAAACTTTTCCAATTTTTCTGTTGCTTGTTGAAATGGCTAGCTGGAGAAAAAACCAAAGGAACAGTAATGGTGAAGTGGGTCACCGGAGATCCTCATCTTATTACGGAAAACCACCATTGGGTAAAGTGTCTTTTTATATTCCATTTCTTTCTTTCGTTTGGTTTTTTTCTTTCTTTTTATTCTGTTTACTTCTTTTGGTTCACAGGTAACAGCTTTTCAACAGTGCCTTCAGGGGAAAAGAAGTTTTGGGCTATGGTAGAGTCAGTTCCATGGGTAGAAGGCAAGAAGTATATGGAATCGCATTCCAAAGTGATGAAGTGGGACGACTATGCTGCCAAACATGCTGTTTACGATGCAAAATTCAGGTATTGGGGTGAGATCAACGGCTATCGCTGGGACATTCCGCTGCCTGATCAGGACATGTACATTGATGATGTAGATTGGGATGCAAGTGTTGATCCTGAACTCTGTCTGGATTTGGATAGAGAAGACGAGGCCAGACGTAACATGATAGAAAACATCCAGGAGACTGTGGTTCTGGGAATAGAAGGAATAGAGCCTACTGGATGGGAGGTCGATGACGAACAAGTAACAAAGCCTCCCGAACCGAGCTATGCTGCTGAGGGGTGGGGGTCAAGCAACCATGAAACCAACTCTTGGGAAGAGAATGATTCTCAAAGGTGGTTTCCAAAGGAGCAGTATGTTGCTGATTTTCCAAACAAGTATCAAGCAAGAAATGATGGATATGAGAGGAGAAAGAATAACATGTCATGGTTTAAGAACCATGCATATCACTATGGTAATAACGAGTATCAAATTCAAATCAATCAAGGAAGAAGAAATGGAGGAAGAGGAGGAAGGAAGAGGGGAAATTATACTTATGCAGCCAAGGTAGCTACTCCCAGTTCATCATAAATTCCTTGGACGGCAAGAAAGTCTTATGAACTTGAGGATTTAGGTTTTGTTATCCACGTGTTATCCAATTATCACACTTTAAAATATGTGTCTCTTATCATAATATAACTTGTTTGCATCAAATCAATGCAGCTAACTTTAATTTGATTAGTTACTGTATCTTTTTTATTTCTTTAATGTGTTATAAATTTTATGTTAAAAACGTATATTATTATATCAACCATATCTTCCTTTAAAGAAGAACATATTAAAAAAGATCTTTGGAAAATTCAATATTAAATGAAGGAACCTTATTTATGAAAGCTTGCGAAGAAAAAGTATTGTTTATTGGAAATCTTCGGAAAAAGATGATAGGATACTAATTTTGGGTCTTGCTCAATAGAAAGGCATAATAGAGAATTGGATATAACTTCTTATGTCAGAAAGAGAGAGGGTGATGCGTTTGAACTACAAGTGCACGGTTGTGTCAAGTAAAAAATATCAATCTCATGGGGAGATGTATGAGTATCAAATCATAGTGCAACTATGTTTATCTAAGATGATAATAAAAAGGTTTGATGCAGATTAAAAAATAGATTTTAACAGTTAATAAAAAGACAGGACTAGGAATTATGATCGTTCATCTAGATTTACCCTTAATATTATTCGTGTTTGAATTGAGAGAAGTTCTAACCCATTTTTATAGAAAATTAGGTAAATTTGTGCATCACCAACTTTCATGGCGTGCACATCTAAACGTGTTTCAAGCACAATAAGCAATTCAATCTGAGCGTTACCCCTTGTCATGTGACGACACATCTTGATTGTATCTTAACTGAGATCAAGTCGTCTTGTAAGTGGTGTCTCGAACTCAATTGTTAAGTAACTTGCTTTCAGATGTCAAATCATTGTCTTTCGATACCTGATCGACATCTATTTTGACTTTGCTTTCGCAACTGTCATAAACGTGGATTAGAATTCAAGTTCTAAAATAAAGAAAATTTAGATTTCTCGCAATTGAAAATAAATAAATTAATAAGGGTTAGTCATGAGATGAACTCTCATAACCCTGTGTCTCTAAGAAACTACTCATTCATGGTGAGATGGACAACATCAATAAATAAATTAAAAAGCATTGCAAGTAAATAATTGATAAAAGATAAAGTAATAACAAACTACAAACTAAGATGAAGATGAAGACAAGATAATTTAATGGATATTATAAATAAAATATTCAAAACTAACACTAAGAACAGGTGTGGGATTGTGGGACATCGTGCTAATGAGTGCCAGAGTTCTGATACAAAGTGCTTCAAGTGTGGGAAACGGGTGATAAGGTTGTTGATTGTATGAGTAATGATATAACTTACTATAACTGTGGAGGTTAGGGACATGTCACTACTAATTGTCAGAAGCCAAAGAAGGTCCATTCTAGAGGAAAGGTCTTTGCTTTGTCTGATTCAGAGAATACCAGTGAAGATAAACCGATTCAAGGTGCATGTTTTATTAATAGTATACCCTTGATTGCTAACACGGGTGTGACACATTCGTTTATTTTTTAGGATTGTGCTAAGAGGTTGAACCTCAAATTTACTTATATGAATGGGAGTATGATCGTTGATACATCGGCTCTAGGTTCGATAATGACGTTGTAGGTTTTCTTGAATTATCTATTGACTATCTTTTGAATGACTTTCAGGATGGATCTAGTATGTCTACCATTGAGAAAACTCGATGTCATCCTTTATATGAACTAGTTAGAGTTCAACCATGTCTATATTAATTGTTTTGACAAGATAGTGCAATTTCCTGAGTTCGTGGAGGAGAAGGATTTGTTTGTATCTTCTAAGCATATGGATGAGCATGTGAGTGACGATGCGCTAGTATTTATGATGTTAGCTTCATTTGATGCCAAGGGAAAGAGAATAATTGGTGAATTACATGTCTTTTGTGAATTTTCAAAAGTGTTTCCTGAAGACATCAGTGATTTTTCGAAAGAGCATGGGGTAAAGTTTGCTATAGACTTAGTACCTGGTACTAGTTTTGTTTCGATGGCTCCGTATCGGATGTCTGCTACAGAGTTGAGCGAGTTGTAAAAGTAACTAGAGGATTTTCTTGAGAAGAAGTTTGTCATACCAAGTGTATTATCATGGGGAGATCCAGTGTTGTTAGTGAAGAAGAAAGACGGTAGTATGTGTTTGTGTGTCGACTATTGTTAGCTTAATAAGGTTACGATCAAGAATAACTATCCGCTTCTGAGTATTGATGATTTGATGGATTAATTAGTGGGTGCTCGCGTCTTCAGCAAGATTTATTTGAGGTCAGGATATCATCAGATTCACATGAAGCCTGAAGATATGTTGAAGACTGCATTCAGGACGAGGTATTGTCATTACGAGTATTCAATGATGTCGTTTGGTGTGTCTAATGCTCCTGGTGTGTTCATGGAGTATATGAACAATAATTTTCATATGTATTTGGATAAGTTGATGGTGAATTTTATTGACGACATTTTGATTTATTCAAAAACTGATGAAGAGCATGTTGAACAATTGAGAGTTGTGTTGAAGTTGTTGCAAGAGAAGCAATTGTATGCTAAGTTGTCCAAGTGTAAGTTTTGGTTAAGAGAAGTGAGATTTATCGACCATGTGATGTCTAGGGGAAGGATTGATGTTGATCTGTCGAAGGTTGAGGTTATGTTACAGTGGGAGACTCTGAAGTTTGTTACTGAAATTTAATGTTTTCTTGGGTTAGCTGGTTATTATTGCAGGTTTATCGAAGGCTTTTCTAAGTTGGATTTGACATTGAATCAGTTAACTAGGAAGGGTTAAGCTTTTGTTTGGGATGTGAAGTGTGAATAGAGTTTCTAAGAACTTAAGATAAGGTTGAAGTCGACTTCAGTGTTGGTTTAGTCGAGTCCAACTTAATCTTTTATTGTGTATTATGATGTTTCTAAGACGGGTCTGGGAGGTGTGTTTATGCAGATTGGGCAAGTTTTGGCTTATGCTTCGAGGCAACTTAAATTTCATGAGAATAATTATCCTACCCATGATTTAGAGTTGGACGCTGTTATACCCCAAAATTTGCCCTCCCATATTCCTCAAGAAATTGCCAAGCCAAGCTAGAAAATTCCCCAAGGGTTGTGCAGTGCAACAGTCTCCCATACAGTCAAAATTAGGGTTTTGAGTCTGATCAAGAAAAGGAAGTTTTCAAAGGCTCAATCAAGTCTCATATGCTTACAAACATGGTCAAGCATCCTCATGTCAAGTTTCAAGGCATTCAGTTCAAGATTGCACAGTCAAAACCCTAAATTGCACTACAGTCAACTGTAGGGGCAAAATGGTCATTTGGCAGTCAAAAGTTCAAATTTTTGGTCAACATATCATTTTGAAGCCACAAACATCATTTGATCAATGCTTGATCATGATTCTCAAAATTTGGCTCAGAAAATCATCAAGATGCAAAAGTTGCTATATTTGGACAGCTGAAAAAGTCAACTGAAATTGACCAGGGCATAACTTTCACATGGATTATCAGAAAAATTCCATCCAAAGCTCATTTTGAAGAGAAAGACATTTCCTACAACTCATCTTCATACTTCAAGTCCAAGAAATGCTCTCACAAAAAGTTATCAATTTCAACATTATAGGTCATTTTCAAAAGTCAACAAAAAGGGACTTTAAGTCAAAGGCCATAACTTGAGATTGGTAAATCAAAATGACATGGGACCAAAGGAATTGGTTAAAGGACTCAAAGACCTTTCCAAAATGTCCAAGAACATGTGAAAAGCTTAAAAATTGAGCAAGTTATGCCTTGTAGAAGTTGGGAAAATTTTGTGAAATGGCAAAAGTCAACTATCCTTGAAAATCCAATTTTGACAAAAGGGCCCCATTTTTCTCACTTTGTCCATACTTTTCACACCAACACACTTTCAAAAAACTTTCAAAGCAAACTTTTCAAACACTCTGACGTACGAGTTGAATTGAAACTTTTCAAAGAATATTTTTGAAACCCACATTGAAAAGCAAGCAAACATTTTGAAAACACATTGAGCAAGTACCTAAGAGCCCATGGATAACCATGGATAGAAAGGGTGCTAACACCTTCCCTTTCTATAACCTACCTCCCGAACCGAGAGCAATCTCTTTATAAGGAATTTTTCTGTGCTTTTGTCCTTTCCTATTGGAGAAAATAAAAGACGGTGGCGACTCTTGCTTCCGCGACATTTTCGCGAACCAGCTTTAAAACAGTCAGTTCCAGATCCACCGATCACAGAACTGGCGACTCTGCTGGGGAATAACTTAAAGTGAGGTGTACCTTAGGACTAAGTTCATCACTGTGTTTTCAATTGTTTTCTTTGCTTGCTTTATTATTGTGGGTTGCTTGGGAGTTCTATAGATCCTAACCCGGATCTGGGGATACCTTCTTAGAAAGTAGCAACAAGGCTGTGAGGGAACTGTGCGGGGTATACCGACATGGTTGAAACAGTCTGCTACGTTGATGTGGCACTTTGGTGTGTACCGGTAACCCTTGAGTCAGTCAAGGAGAGTACGGGGCCTCCATGTGGTGTCATGAAGCATCAACAGACCTTAGGAACCTTAATTGAACCATCTTGGCCTCTTTAGGGTAGTGAGATAACTGACTTTGGTGCAGTCCGAGGTTGGTTGATACTCGATACTACACTCAATTGAGGGTTGCTTTCCTGGAATATTTCGGTCGCCAGTTCAGTGGCTAAATCGAAACGATGAACAATGAAAGCAATCCCGTGATATTGGGAACCTTAGAACCCGGTTACTTTGATTAGGACAGGTTGAACCCACCAACTTCAAGAGGGTACTACCCAGACCCCATGCTGGCCTAAACCTAAGGGCTCTCTCTTGTGTGACTTGTGTGCCTTAGTACTTGACTATCTGCATGCTTGTGATCTAACACTTGTTTCTTGCAGGTTTATTTCAGTCCTTAATTAGGACTCATAATAGGGTTACTGACATCACCCCATGCATACCATGACATCATACCAT